GAGAAAGAGATTGATCTCATCAACATCCTTACTGAAGAAGAAGAGAAATTGAGAGATAAAAACCTAACAATTCAATAAAAACATTTCACAGCTTTTCATTTTCTGGCAGAAGATCAGCAACCAGCTGAAGGCTATCTGTCTGAACCTCTCTCTCTACATAATATTCTTTTGTTTCATAAGCTTTAATGATAGTGACAAAGTTTTAGAAAGAAATATCTTGAAAGAAACAACTGGCTTATTTTGATTTGATTGTTTGAGAAAAAAAGTGAGATGCAGAGCAAAATCAAGGGATATGGAGAGAAAGGGTGAGTGAGATGGTGCAGATGATGAACATGAGAGCATCTATTGAGGAAGGTAAAGAGAGGGGCTTCACATTCAAGTCCAACTTAAGAAATGGATATCAAATGTTGCTAATAAAGGAAAGAAGACTGCTAACTCTTGATTTTCTTCCTTTTTTGTTGCTTTTGACGTCATAAATAAATATTACTAAACTCAAGTGTTTCTAATCTCAGAGATGCAGTCCATGTATATGTTCATCCAGAAGCAGCATTGCTGCTGAAGATGTTCTTAGAATCTTTTTTGATTTCGTTTATTAACTCCCTGATTCTTCCCCCTCCCTTAGTTCATCCTTCTCTCTTTCTCTCTCTCCCTCTGTACTTCCCTCTCCATCTCTCTCTCTCTCTTTGGGAATCTCTTGCATTTGGTTTGTTGCCGCCAAAACAATGTCTAATTCAATGAAAAGTCCTTGTGACATTGTACAGTTTGTGATCAAACATTCAAATGTGTTTTCAAAAGATTTCTTCAAATTAACGTAATCAACAGAGATTACGGTGACAGACAGCCGGCTGTCCATACTTTCATGTTATTTTCCATATTATTATATAGTTAACAAATGTGTTTTTGTTCAGTTTTTGTTGGCCTTCCTCAAATCAAGTTAGAAAAATGCTTTTAAAATCAATTATATCAGCAACAGACAGCTGTTGGTGCTTTTCAACAAAAACCTTCAACAGCTCTAACTCACCAAGCTCACAAGCTTGTCATTGATTGTGTTTATCTTTGTTCTCTAAACAAAAATAAAAATAAAAAAAAGTTTGAGTTTGGGATTTATGTGACAGCTGGAGAAGAATAATATTTTCAAACTTTACAGGATGATTCGTGCTGGATGACTCAGCATCGTCAACCAGTTGAAATCCAGCCTCCACAAGTTGGAAAAGTAACGATTCCGGAACTATCTGAAGGACATGCTGTTCAGGTTTAAACAGATTAAATATATGATATCATTCATATCTATATATATCTATAGAAGACAGTTATTGTAACGAAGCCACAATCATATCAGAAAGTGAAATGGAATGAATTCCCAGAAGAATTGAAACCTGAAATAGGACAAGCTCCAAAAGTTCAGACGCAAGAATGGGTTCCCGTCAATCAGGTCAGCTTTCTTCACATTTCATTATAATCTCAGCCACCTCCTTTTTTTTTTGTTCTTTCAATACAAAAACATTGCTTAAGGGCAGTTAATCATTGATTTCTTAATTTTGATTGTTTATTCTCAAATAAGGCGATACGTCAATGATTTGAATAATTTTCTTTATTTCAAATAATAAAAGAAATATTATTAATAAGCGGATTTGGAGGAGTCGGAAGATATAGAAATACAAAGGGGGTGGAGACGAACGGAATGGAACGAAGAGAGAGAGAGAGAGGGAGTGAGATCGAAAAAATGTGAAAGTTAGAAAGATGAGGAGCAACCGTTCTATGCGCTTTGCATAAGTGAAATGGCTTTGCATATATAATTTCCTCGTTGCACACGCTGTTCACGTGGAATTTCACGTAGTGTTTGCATTTCTAAATTAATCAGAAGTAATAGGAGATAGAACGAGAAAAAGAGTGATGAAGAGAAAATTCTAGAAAGGAAGAATCAGAGAGAAAGAGAGAGGGAGAGAAAGAAAGGTTTAAGAATGAGAGAGGCAACAGAGAGTTAAAGAGTTGCAAGGGAAAATGATAAATTCCTTCAAAAACGAAATAGTATTGGAAGGGATGGTCATGTTGTTATTTTTAATCAAATAAACAGCAACCAAATTAATCAATGATTCTTCTACAGAAAGTAAAATTCTTTTTTATTCTCTTGTTTCCGCTACAAAAGGAGGGGGAAGACGTTTTGTGACGCCACATCTACTTCCTGCATACTCAACTTTGCCCTCTTATCTCACTTTTGCTCTGTTTCACTTCCCTCTTTCTCTCTATATCTCAAGCTTGTCTCTCTTACTTTGTAAAGACGTTAATATCCATGTGAAAATGAATATATTAAGGAACAACAAGAATTGCAACGCAGCCTGTATAAGCCAGCTAAGATTTCGCGAGTCTGGCCACCTCCAGAGGATACACTAGCCAAGGAAACGTAAGATGATTATCATTTTTTATATCATTTTTTCTTTCATATTTTGTCTTATTTATACTTAACATGAATATTTATCTTTGTGATAACACCCATTTGAATGTTATCAACTATTTCATTCAAACATAACCAGTTTTCAGCTCAATTTTCTCATTTCAGTGCCCCAATGGCTGCCATCAAAGCATCTGATGATAATGCTTGGATTCAACAGGTAATTAACCTTATCACATAAATTATATGATCATGTTAACACCCTTTTTCAGGAAAACAGTGAAGTTCTGAGATCTGCTGCTTGGTCATCAACAGCAGCCAAAATCAACAGAGTTTGGCCACCTCCTGAGGAAGACGGAAATGACAGAGGCTATGCAGGTAATACCATCAACAAAGAACACGCCTGCTTTATCAGAAACAAACTTGCACAACTCTCTTATCTTCAAAAGAAATTTAATAAATTGAGTAAACAAATGATTTTTTCGTTATAGGACCACAGCATATGCCGGCTGTTCAATGGCCACCTTCAGAAAGTGAACAGCATGAACGTGAACAGGTTGAAGTTCTTCAGAAGCATTTGCCAACAAAGAAGATTGAACGACAATGGCCACCTCCACCTCCACAATACCAAGAAGGTTCATTTCATATTTCTTGAATCAAACATCAAACAACATCCAAAACTAATTGAGCAAGTAGTGTTGTATGGTAAATGGGTTGAAGAGAAGAAACATTTAGTTGAGCATATTGATTCAACTATTTCCATATTTGACATCTTCTGAGTGTCAGATGTCATCAGCATTTTCATCATCTAAACAGAGTTGTCAATCTCTTTCATGTTTTTTCTCGAATATTTTTTAAACAAAAAAAATGCAAATATGTAGTAAAAAGACAAAGTCTGACGATGCCTTCAATCGGACTGGTTCTGGCTGAGTTTCAAAAATTAAAAACCGAAATCTCTAAGACACATTAGAACACAAAGAAAAATATTTTGGAAAACATTACGATGACGTTATTCTATTCGTATTTCAGTGCCCGTCAGCGAGGTCATCACTAATCAGGTAACTTTTGACATCGTTTTCACCCCTTTTTTTGTTTTGTCACTCACTTTTCCTGCATGTTTGGCTTTTCTTCTAATTTCTATCTATTTCGTTTCTTTCTGTTCCATTACCTCCTTCAGGAATCACAGACAACTGTACCAACAGCTCAACCGGTAAATAGCATGGACTTCGGCCATTTATTAGCTTAGATGGGGTGTGTTGTGAAGCTCTTAGAATAGATTTTTTTTCAATTTTCAGCACATCTATCTCAGTTACACGCATGATGTTAACTATCACAGAACATAACTAATAAATATACTGATTGAACACAGATTAACTCATTTCAGACTCAACAAGGTGTGTTGGCCAAGTAAAGAGTGCGGATATGCCTCTTTCATTGTCTCATAACATCTTCTTCAACCACCCTACTATATGTATGATGAAAACGAGTGTCTAAGTTAATAAGGAGCAAATAGCCAAATACGTACATATGTTATATAGTTTTATATGTTTTCATTTACTTGTATTCTTCTTCTTCTTTTTTTTGTATTTGTGCTTGCCAATTTCGAACAGTTTTAATGCTTATTTTTTAATAAAGAAAATTGAGCAAAAACGATAATATACCGTTAACAGACAGAATGGTGATGACGGCATATAAACACACACACACAGAGACACATACATGTAATGGCGAGTTACAATCAAAATGTACAATTTGACAACAAAAATGATATTCTAACCCGAACTATAAGATGAAATCAAATGAATTAAATGCTTTAAAACCATTTTAATAACAACAGTTCGAGCTAAGAGACAGAAAGAGAGAGAGAGAGAGAGAGAAGCGAAAAAGGGGGGTAGGAAAGGAGTGATGGGGGGAGGGGAAGGGCTGAAGATGGATAAAGGCATTGTTAAACAGATAAACGAGGTGAACTCTCTATTCTTTCTAATCCGTAATGTATCCCGTTGAATGATAACAAGAATTTCCTTGCTAATACAAGTTTCAAACTACAAACACTCTCATTCACACACACTCACATATTCTTTTACAATCATAGTAATCACTCACTCACACTCACACTCACACACACACGTAGTGGTCTCGCTCACAACAACTCACACACAGATACGAAGGGCATAGCTTATTTCTAAGGAAATAATGATTTTAAAGGAGAAACGAAGATTAAAAGTTAAACTTAAAGTTGTCAATGGACATTTCATGTCAAATATTAAAACGATTTCTATGAATAGAAAAAATTAAAATTGAAAACTGCTAGAATACAGCTAAAAGCTACATCTTCTGGATATCTAATGATATCCAAAAGCTATTATATAAGTAAAGGAAAATGGGTTTGGCATCTTTCACTTTGATGAGATATAAGGGAATGCAGGAGATTTTTAAAATTTAAAAAAATTACTTTTTTGTAAGCCCTAAGAGATGGTCACGTTATATTCGGCTAATCCTTTCATGCTGTTCTAATAGGCTCGATGTTCATTGGAACTTCCGAATATGGCTTATAACCATCTATGACTTTTTCTTTTTTGTATGTTGTAGTTGACTTTAATCAAATACTGCTCTATGACCAGATCGGCCTTTCTCTTTCAACTGCTGGAGTACTGGCTGGAGTTATGATTGGAAGAGAATCAGTTGATGACAGAGAATTCTGACTTGAACTCAATGATGGCGAGTTATTAATGGAATCATCATCCTGAAATAGAAATGAAATGAGAAACGGTATCGAATGCTCTGACAAATCAGTCATCTATATAATTCAATTAACTATCAACCTTAATTGGCTATCAATCATTTGTTACTGTATCAGCTAATTGCAAAGATCAATCGAAAGATCAAAAAGATGCCCATTTTACAATTTTCCATGCATTTCGTCAATAGTCCAAAGGTTGATGCTCTTTTTTACTCAAACACACTCTCTCTCTTATTATCTTTGAGACGATAGGAAATCTAACTTGTCAAAAAAGATAGAGAGAGAAAGAGAGCGAGAGAAAGAAATCGGAAAGAGAAAAGATAGGAGAGAATTCTGAGGCAACCATATGATAACACAGTCAGTATTCTTCTTCTTCTTCTGCAGATGAAATGAGACAACAATCGAAGAAGCAAAAGATTAGATAAAGCACATGATTCCCACGTGTAGCAACGTGTTCTCACGCTGGAACTCGTTTCAAATCCCTTCATTATCATCAATTTTTGTCATTTTTATGTTATCAACAGTTAAGTCAAATGTAGATGATTATTTTTAATCTTTCATCCTTCTTCTTTCTCTTTTGCCAAAAATCCGTTTTCACGCGATGCACCTCATCAGAAGTTAATGATTGATAGTAGTAATTCGAATTCATCAACATCTAACCACCCACACACTCACATGTTCACATAGATATGCAAAACCATTCTCAGAAAACAGTTAGTCATAAGATGGTTACACATCTTCAAATTTTGATCTTCTCATTTCTGTTCTTAGCTGCTGCCCTCCCAACCTCTCTATCTCTTCATCTTTCTCTTCCTCTCCCTGTCTCTCTCTTTATCTTCATATTGTTATTATTCATCGACAGTCTATAGACGAATAAATCATCATAAGACGAAAGTTCGAAGATGATTCGATCAAACTCTTATCTTATGTTTTTCAATAAATTACTTAAAGTCTCACGTGCGTCTTCCAATATAGCCTAATGGCGTCATTCTTGACATACTTTTGCATGAAGCGCGTTCTATCATTCTAATTTCACGCCAAATGACACGTGCTCGTGCACGTGAAAGCTTTTGCAGTCTTTTCATTTTTCTTTTTTTGTCGACACTAAGCGGCTGATACGCAGAATCATTAGCATTCCAATTACATTTTCGGGGAATAAAAACTTTTTTTTCTAAACGAAAAGAAACCGACCTCAAGTTGTTGCAGACGACGTGCCAATGTTTCTCCGAATCGCTCACGATACCCAGGCGATATATCATCCATAAGTGTATATAAGGAGTCATAATACTTGGTGAACATTTCCAAACGTGTAAAGTCACCTGAAATGAATGCAATTAATGCCGATGGGATTGAGAAGGATATAACATGGAGGATGTGCTACAAGAGAGAGTGATAGAGATAGGAGGGAGGGACACAAAAAACTTTCTAATGTAACCCAGAAATTGCCTTATAGGCATTTAGCCTGATAGCTATTTGTTGACACAATAAGATCATCGGTCAAACAGAACAAGATTAAAATGAAGAAATCCTGTCATCAATCAGACGGTGATTATACCGGAATAATTCACAACGTGGATAACACGCGGTTTGTCAATGAAGAAATCTAATTCATACATGCTGTCGGTGAGAACAAGGACAATCAGATGAAGCGAGAGGTCAACAGTCATCTCTTCCTACTCTTACTATTTGCTTATCTATTTTGTTAAGAGCTATTTTCATAATCTCACTTTAATGACAATCAACTTAATTCTTTCATCTTCGCTCTCACACCTACCAACCATTACTCAGTCTCGCATCACCCACAACTGCATACTTGTCTTTGCTGATTACAAAAATAGCCTTTCCAAATATAGATGTGTGATGATAGTCATTTTTATCTGTTACACAATAACCGAAACATATCATGTGAGAATATCCATTACATTCTTGTGATATACTCACTGTACCCCACGATTCTCTTCTCCCCCTCTCTCCACACATCACCATTCACCATATGCAGTTTTCTTGAAAGAGGCCAGATGAAGGGAATAAAAAAGGAATAATAAATCAGAACAAAAGGTTTCGAAATGCCATGATAAAGTATCATCTTTCTTAGAACATCTCCATTATTCAAAGACAATCTTCAAAAACACTGATAAGCAAGTAGGAAATCAAAAATCGCTCGCAGAAAGATCATGCTTGAGGACAACCATGTGATTCATTTTTATTTTAAAAATCATGAATAAAAGTGAAAGTAAACTAACCAATCATGCAATCTGTCCTTAGAGAAGCTATTCTCCAACCTTTTAATGTGAGTTCCAGACAGTAGGGTTGAACTGAAATGAATTAGTTAGTTGAGGATGGAAGTACTTGTAAGCCTGCGCATTAGCTCCTATCATTAAACTTCTAATCAAAACATCACATGGAATATCTGTTTTCTCTCTTGATCACCTTTTTACTTTTCACAAAACGCTCGAAAAACCCATGTGTAAGAAGAAAAAAAAGATGAGGTGCGCAGAAACAATTCTTAATGTAAGCTTGGAGAAGCATTAACTCACCTTCGAGCGTCGTCACGTTCACAAAAATAAGATCTGGAGTTCTGGGTAACATCTCAGAAACGCTAATGGACTGAACTGCATAGCTGAACTCATTAACAGCAGCTGAAACAATCATGATTTGAATAAGAATCCATAAGCTCAATAAATGACAAACCTATTGCTTCCAATTCGAGTGATGAGTCTCCACGGCTTCCTGGAGCATTTGTTCCAGCACAAGAGCGATTAATAGAAGATACTTTATGAAGAGATAGTGGAACAGATCTGAAAGCGAATCATGATGGACTAACTAGTCAAAGAGAATTTCAAGTTTTTTTTTGTTATTTTGTCTTCGAAAAAAAAAAGTTAAAGAAAAACCAGCCTTAATCTGAACAAGATAGGTGGCGAGGCAAATGGTCAAAGAACTTTTGGGTAATTTTTGTTGAAGAGGAATGAATGTAAATAAACAAACCCAGGAGGTGATCCACCAGCAGTACGACATCGCAAACATGGCACAGGCTCAGTTCTCAACATGCCTACGAAAAGAGAATTGCTACGAGCACGTTGTTTCATCGTCATATTAAGACAAGTGAGTGTTGTTGCCCGGCTAACCAGGTTAATTATATATCATGAAAAAAAGTAGGCGGAGCTAGAACGATAAGAAAGTGCGACAGACAGGCTAGGGAGAAGAAGAACAAGAGGCCAAAAGACCGAAAATAGCCGCCGACACAACTAGCATTACTGCAAGTAAATGTAGAGAGGGGGGAGAGAAAAAGAAATAGAGAGAGAGTGATAGGGAGAGAGTAGCAAAGAGGAAAGAGGAGAGAGTATGAATAAAAATGCAAAAGCATAAACAACTGTGACAAACTTTAATGAGAGAGACAAGAAAAGATAACTTATTCTAACATTATGATGGAACGTCGATGATGCCATCCTTTACTTAAACTATAAATATAAATAGAAGCTGAGCATCACCAAATAGGGAAGTCATTCGTGTATTCTCGGAAATTTGAGAGCCATTACATTGAGCCTCAATAGAACAATGATGACTACGATAAAAAATTAATTATCTAACAAATCGTGTTGGAAAGGAGAAAGAAGGCACAAAAAAAAAACCGTAGAAGAGGAGAGAAGAAAATGAAATTGAGGACGACGAGATAGAAATGAACTAGAATGCAGCCGTTCTGTGAGTACAGAGCCTAAGGTAAGGATTAAGTTTGAGCTTTGCAGAAGCTAGCTAAAACAAATTAAAGTGCGTTCAGTGGAGTTTTAAGAAAATATAATTGTAACAAACCAGATCATACTCATATGACGTCAATACGAACTGATGACGAAATTTAAAAACATAAAAAAGAAGTATAAAAAGGCGACTAACGGACAAAGAAGAGTAAACGTTGGATAATGGGTATAGTTCGACAAAAATCAAGTTAACTAAGTTAAAAAATAATATTTTTCTTCTTTGTCCTAGTAAACGTCTGCAAGTAGCTTCACACGACACGAACAGACAATGAAAGCTAAACTGCCTTTAAAAAAAAAGATGAAAAGAAGGAAGAATTTGATGAAGAGGTCATTGAGAATGTGGTCCAACAGATTCACGTGAAAAACATTTGCAAACCACATTTCTCTATCATCTGCTACCAAAAAAGTGATAAGAAAACTGATGATGGACACTTAAAAACTGTCATGGAGATGGAACTACTCAGAAAGTTGTAAGATTAAAGTGTTTTAGTGAAATGCATTGAACAGACAGACAGAGAGAGAGAGAGAAGAGAAGCTACAACCTTAGAGATAGAAGCATTAGATGAACAGCTAGACAGAGACAGACGGACAGTTAGACATTGAGAGAGAGAGAAGAAAGATGAAGAAATACGAAAGATGATTGTATATAAAACAAGCCAAAGCTTAGAAATTACGAAATTTCGTAAAGGGTGAAGGAGCATGTTCAGCTTTACATGGTGACATTGAAGAGAGAGCGATAGAAAATGAGAAAAGAAGAAAAAAGAGAGAAAGAGATAGAGAGAGAGAGGGAAGAGGGGGGGGGAATGGATGGCATGTTGAAAGACTACACGAAAAGAATAATAAAAGGAGAGACCTTAGGAAACTTAGGCAATGCGGAAGAGAAGCATGTAAGAACAAGATTCAAAGAAACTCAGATCAGTTAGAAGGCAAAATAGAGAGAAACTGGCGGAAAACATAGAACTTCCTCGAAGGGCGAAGCACGTGTTTTCAAAAAAGGATAGCGTTGCTGCTGCTGCTGTGTGGTTGCTTGGAAAAGCTCAGTAATTTATGCAATTCAAACATCTAGAAGTCACCTTTTCAAGGCCAGCACATGCTTGTAAATGTACGACGAAATTGTGATGAAAACAATTCATGAATACGAATAGAAATTTCTTTCTAATCAAAAAAAAAAGTTATCAAATTAACTGAAAGAAAGAAAATTCGTGAAAAATGAGAAAGATGAGCGATCAGCAAAAACAAAGCCATAGAAATGAAAATGGAGACGTCGATAACGTAAGCAAGTTAGAGTCCAGAGTAGAGATACTTCTCTCATTCCTCACACCCAAGATCACGAACAGAAGAGATACAAAAACTTTTAAAGACTTTGACGACGAACGAGATAAGCAGTTGCTTAGCCTGCTCCCGTGGAATGAAAAGCTGGCACTGCCGACTCCAACATACACACTTCTAAACATCATCTGTGATCTCAAAATCAGAAATGACAATCGCAAGCAGATATCATTTACAAACTGAGAGCATTAGACAACATAAATAAAAATGATCAGAGATATTCACGTGCATTTCAGATAGCACGAGATATGACAGATGTCCGACGTCGAACTCGTGAACAACCCCCAAGAAACACGTTGTATTAGATAATTAGATGAAAATTAGAAAAAAAAGAGAGGCCTAATTGATAAAAATTCAAAAATTCCTTGTCTTCTCAGAGAAACAGGAGCGAGATAGATAATGGAAAGGAGGAACAAGCTTTTACCTTCGAACCCTCTGGCAATAATAAGAGCCAGCAAATGAAAATGAAAGAGGTAATACAGATAAAAGTAATTGATAAGTTATAGATAAATAATTTGCAAACATTCCATTTCTTTTACATGCAAAACAGCCGCTCTAGCGTTAGAGCGTCCCATCTATTTGAACTAAAATAGAGGAAATGAGATGAATTTATAAAAATATCAAAGAATAGCTGATTGGCGACGCGTTTAAAAAAGAAAAAAAAAGTTTTGTGCAACATGACGCAGACGTGCAAATTGAAGTTAGCAGAAACATAAAACAAACGAAAGAATGAATAAAAGTTTGTATCTTCCAAGAAATATTATTAGCTAATGGGTGGGTAGTTGAGAGGGAGAGACGGAAGAGGAGGATAAGATGAGGAGGATAGGGCGAATACGCTGTGCGGGCTTCTATGTCTATCTTGCAGAAAGTATTCGTTGATCGCAACGATCATTGTGATTATTTTACGTCATGATTGGCCATGGCACAAAGTCCAACAGCACGTGAATATCAGGCCGTAAAGTAATGCACAGAAAATAAAACAGCTGACCAACAAGAGACTATAAAAGTCAAATAGCAAACTACAATGATAGAATGCATTTCTTCTATTTCATGGCAGCATACACGCACACACACACACATACAGGTAGAAGACAGACAGCGACGACTGTTCGAACCATTCACAGAAAAAAAAAGAAAGAAAATGGTCGTTATGAAAACGAGATCGACTACCTACAAACTCTCAAAACTATTATTCTGAAACAGCTTAATGATTTGAAATAATATTTTGCAGCTGAACGAAAGCAATAACAAGCAAAAATCACAGCTAAAACATTCACGTTTCTTCGAAATTACGTGGTAATCCATTTTCTAAACACACACATACACACACAGACACACGCATACACACGTGTTAATGATCTTTGTAGTCTTGCTGGCAGGCAAAAGCTTTTGGCATATCGGACAGGAACTATGACAAAGACAAAATATGTGAAAGAATATAAGATAAAAGATCAAAAAACAAGCGACAACTTCGAATTTACTGGTAAAGCCAACTTGCACATCGTTGAGCTTTACGAGATGCTTCAGTCACCGACAGTTCAACAAGTCAACAATTCATGTGCAAAAAATAGAATGATGAGAAGTGTTAGAGATTGTACATAAAAGGTCACAAAAACATTGAAAATAAAAGAAAAAAAGGAAATTGAGCTTATGTGATGCAAAACGTTTTTCATCTTTTTCAGGGAAGCAAAAATAATAAATGATGAGAATATGATAAAGAAACACACATACACAACACTCATACTTACCAAAAAAGGAATGAATTAATGAGGCGAAGAGAGGGAGTGAGAGAGAGAAAAGGAAATAAACAAACTCAACGATTAATTACGTTTTTTGTCCGCAAAGATTATGCTATATGAAGAATCGAGGAATCAATAATCATACTTCTTATGATATATGACCTACTTACTGCGAAACAAGCGGCTCGAATTCAAACCATCAAAATATGAAAAAAATAAACTTCTGACATTGATGAACTGCACGTGGATGAGCATGTGCATGTTCACGTGGATTTTCACGTGGACTTTCACATGGACGTGCTTTAACAAATAATATGAGTGTCATTTTAATTGAATGGTCAGTCAATGAGCGGTCGAACAATTTCCTATCAGAATGAACGAAAATTCTTCGTTCTCAGATATTTGGTAGAAGAAACCTCTCAGTCAACTGACAACTAGTGTTGTGTTTCCGCATTGCGCTCACTCGTTTGTCTCTTCAGTTCAGACAAAAAAAAATTTTTCCACATACTCTTATTGAATTAATTGCTTCAAGGAAACAAATGGATTGGAAGTAAAATTGAAATTTGAAAAAAAAAAAACAGAACAGCAGCTGCACCTTTTTCGAGAACATGTAGATGGAATGAACATAAAAACCTTCATTTCTGGAACAATTTCGCAACCGCAGGTGAGTTTGAATTTTCATCGAATCTTCGGTCATAAGATGGAAGCCGATTTCATTAGCAGTCAAGCCGATTGAACGCAGTTTTTTCATTGAATTTCAAACACATTAATGAGATTCTCGGCTCATAATGAAATCATCGCATAACAATTGTTTCCAAAAAAAGAAAAAAAATTTTTGATATTTGATTTTAACTTCTTTTGATTGCTAAATTGAAGAGGAGCCAGTCGTAAGTTCAAAAAATGTCGTTCACGTGAAAATCAGGTGCAGAGACATTGTGTAAGAATGTGAAGTTGCATTAATCTATCTCTCTTTCTCATCAGTGAGAACACTTAGAAAAAAACCTTCTTTTTGTTCAAATCTTTTTGTAAAACAAATTTTGTACTTCGACACCTACATTTTGGTGGCAAAAATGAAAGTTATTTGTAATATCTAATCGTCATGATTGAGGATTCGATCATATAATCGATGAACACAGCGATAGGAACACAGTAGTCTATAGATACATAGGTGATGCATTATAGAGAAATCAAGCGGATCAAAATCATTTGATGCACTCAATCTCCTTCACAAGTAACCATCTTATCTGACCCACCCTCATTTGAATAAATAATTTTTTTTTATTTTAATCAAATAGTGAATAGAAGTTCCGAAAAAAAGGTTTGAATCCATTAGCAAATCATGCTTCAGAAAACATCGCGGATGAGTATTTATGAAGAGGACATGCATTAATAGACAAAATTAATTTCCTAATGATGAGCTGGAAGTAATTCTACTTCCAGTCCGCATCCATTTAAGCCTTCAACTTACCTCTCACCTGTGAATGGTCACTCACGTCCTAATGCTTTCTGAATCATTCAAACAACGTTAGAAACTATTTAGTGACCATTAGGAGATGAAATATAGAACACAAACTATTCGGATTTTCAAATGATCGCATGAATAGTGAAGCTGTTATGGCTTCACCGGATTTTCATCTGCAGTTTCATGATGGTGACGAAGAAGTATATGTGGGTGTGTGTCTTCAGCGAGGGTTTCCAGTTGAAGTGAGCATTCTTGGCAATTTTAAGCTATTATAGTAAAATATGACGACGAAATAGTTCAAGGGTTGTTTTTCTTTTGGTGCTATGAGGTTTATGATGATGTTGGAGCGTGGGCCCGAATCAGTGCACTACTAATAACCGATCAGCTGAGAGAAGTCCAGAATGTTCGCGAAAAGTCTCATATGCCATCTCTCAATACTGAGAAACTCCGTATTTGCATTTACTGTGTTTATCGATCTGATTATAATCTCTTATATGACCGAAAATGGAAGGGAAATCGATGACAAGATCGTTTCTTTCGAAATTCAAAGAACATCCAGCAGACTTGTTCCTGCAATAACCGTTCATCTTTCTCAATTATTCTTAATGAAGCAAAGTTTTTCAGAAAATCAAAGATTAAATAACCTGAAAATCATAGCCACATACAGAAAATGTTATTTTACTTGAACCTACCGAAAGAGATGAAGCTGAAGCTAGCGGCCGAATAGAGCAGAGGATGGCGAATGTCGAGAAACTTCCGCTTAAAACGTAGGAGCAAATAAAAAATATTTTCGGTTAAGAAATCTTCAGCTTTCCGTGTTGCCACTGTTTTCCAGGTTTCGCCAAATTGAAATACCCTTGCAGTGTTCTGTTCATGTTTCCGTGTGTTGTCATAAAAGAAAACAAAGACATAATGCTCACAACTTCATTTTAACTTAAGACATAATGAGATTAATTAAAATGAATTCAATATTAGCTGTTTCGGATATTCGTATAGATGAGGGAAACACTCAATAATCATTGAAATATCACTCACTAACATCAAGATTAAGGAACTGAAGTGGATAACGATGACTACAATTCAACAAAAGGACCACAAGAAAACTACTGATTGAGGGCATTTTACATAAAAAAGAAAAATCATGTGATTGACTACTCAAAAAATGTTCAAAATCTATTGTATTGCACAATGGGTCCTGTTTAAAAAGGTGAACAACATACTCATTCTCAAGAATTATACAAAGAAAAGTCGTTACGAGATGCCGAACCTCAGAAGATGTTCTACATCTCAGTAACGAACCATGTTTTGCGCTTCTCTTACAGTGAGATCCAAACTTTACAAAAAAAATAAAGTAAGATGGAGACAAAATATGGATGAAAAGACCACTAGAGCTGGGAACTTCAGTCATTTAAGGAAGTTGGGGTGTAGCACGAGATAAAACACACACCTAGGTACATACACGCAAAGTTTTAGTGATCCGATTTCAGAAGAAAAAAACCGTAAAAAGGACGATAATCCCCCCGTATTTTTAGAATTTTCAATTTTTCGACGATTAACAATATGATTAACTAAGGAGATAAATAAAAAAACAACAAACAGAACTAAAAGAGATTAAATAAGAGACATTATATACAGCAAGTCTATGTACACGTTTCAAGACATTGGCAACAGAAACTAAAATTACTACAAAAAAGAAAAAAACAAAACTAATTTCTATTTAACTATTTACATAATTACACCGCACATGGGAGAACGGTCAGCCCAAACCTTCGTCATTTACGCTAATCAACTAGATTTTAACACCGAAATGTACCCAAAAAACACTATGTTACAACTAATTACAACTTGCACTAATGACGAAGGCTGCAGGCTTCTGTTATTGATTTGGGATTTAGTGGGCTGAGAACCACCTCAAGTTTAGAAAATGAACCGACCAATTAATTGACATCCTTTCGATTAGAGAACTGCATTTTAGTTTGCAACCATCTGAAAACAGATCTGATTAGCAATGAAGGTTAGGCACGATCACTTACTGCTTTCCGCTGTTGGCGGATGAGATCAGACCAAGTACGCTCTTCAGATGGCAGTGGAGATGATGGAGGAGAATCAGTCGAATCTACGAAACCACTGTCTTGACGTTCGTTACGAAGACAAGGCTTTGTTGGTTCAGCAATTTCTTGTCCATCAGACTGAAGAAGACAGGTGTAACTAATGTTTTAGCTATTTTGCTTATTACCTCACTACCACAACTACGTCTGCGCTCATCATCTTTACGACGTTTTTGCTGACGTTTTTTCTCATTTTTGCGAGCTTGACTGAGAATACATTGATTTGGACGGAAGCGACGGCACTGTTCAAGTTTTTCGCTGAAGCTGACTCTCTTCTTCCGAGAAGCGATTCGAGCGGGCTCGTCAGTGTGTCCTTCATCTTCCCCTTCTTCAACGTATGCTCCTACATCTTCTTCTTCCTCTTCCAAGGTTCCAATCAAACCGAAAGGTCCTAACGGATGACTATGGCAACTTTCCGAAACGGAGCGAGCCAATCTTTGTGCTCTGAGAGAGGGTTTTTTGAGAATACCCTTAAGACCCTCAGAAGCCCACTCGGATTCACTAGCAGAACGTTGGCGCATACCCAAACGGTTTTCCTCTGTAATATTTGGGTGTGAAAGAGAAAGTAATGAGAGTTTTACCAGAATACTGATAAAATGGTGAGTGCTTTCCGACGGGACTTGTCACTGGTGATAAGCTTATGCCAGAATCAATTGATTCCGCTGGACTCGTAGCTAAGTCACCCATAGAAGACCCATCACAAATCACATTCAGAGGAGAAGAAGAGAGAACTCTATCCAAACGAGGACGAGCGCCATGCTGAAAATTTGAAGTTTTTCGTCGATATAATTAGTCCAACTTGGTATGTCTTCCGACAAATAGAAAAATTTACAAAAAAACTCACTTCGCCTATTTCTACGAAAGCTTCCTTGGTACTAACACGAACAATATGGAGAGAGCGAGCATCCCGGTCTTTCTGATTAGCCGATTTCTGATGAGAAGCAAGTGATTCGTCCAGACGACGTCTCAAAGTTTCTACACGTAATTGGCCAGCATCCAACATCTATAACATAATGTTATTAATAAAGGAATATAATTACTGGAGTGTAGTCGAGTCAATTTGGAACTATATACATTGAGCACAGCTCTAAGGAAGAAAAGTCACGAGGTCTACGAAATAAGAAGGGATGGGATGAATGGCCTGCCACAGCTATTATCAGGAAGTGTGCGTCAGACATACCCAGCCCTCAGTATATTACAAACAGATCTTAAAATGAAAGGACAACGTGCTAAATCTAAATCTCAGTCCATTTGCTAAGAACAAGATAGATCAAACTGATCAATTTCGAGAAAACCTTTCCGAAGTCGCAGAAAAAACGATACGAAAAGAGAACACTCGCAGGAACACTTTTCCTCTTGAAAGGAAGACTAGAGAGAGAAGGATAAGGCTTCTACAGATGAGTATATAAACTGTAAACAATCTATATACAATAGGCAGTAAAAATAAAACGCTTCTGGCCATAAAATGATTGCTTGAAGTAGTCAAATGTCAGAAGGATTAGATAAAAGACGAAAGGCATATGAGTATCACGTGCATTGGAAAATCTTAAGTAATGAAAAATGAGAGTATTCAAATGAAAATAGATTCTAATGAATCTCCTTGTCAAACAACTTTGAAACCGCATTTCTGCTACTGACCCTTGCAGAAATGCAAGGCCAAATGGCTCAAACCATGTGACGAAAAGAGAGGCCAAGGGCTAGCAGGCGACTAGGAAAAAAGACATGGAAGGCTAACTTTGGTAAGTTCGAACCAAAAAAAAGCATGAAATGCGCTTTATAAACGTTGTTCATGCACTCGTCACTTTTAGACGAATTGTAAGACCTACATGTTTACGGTATTCGGAACCGTTTGATTGCAAAATTTCAGAGCAGAAGATTGTTTATCAGAATTTGGAAAAAAAAAATAACTATCCGTCTTCAGGGACATTATTGTCTTTTGCATGTTTCAAGAAAAACACATCAGAAATATAATACCAAGAAATGTAAGACGAAACACAAGCAAATTCACGACCAAATTGTAGATCAGATCGCAAGGTAAGTTTGAACATACTTCTTTGTTTACAAAACGTTTTTGTATGCAGATATGATTTTCAAAAAACCTATAAACAACGAATGTAATGGCAAAAATTTCGCTGTCACTTCGCAGATGAAACACAATGAGCGTTTTCAAAAATGGCGCGTAGCATGAGTATATCATTTTCCAACGTGGTAGTTGCATGTAACGGTTGTTTATTGTTGCTTACAGGTGTTAGCTGAGCAAGCAAGCAAAAAAATGTGAACGTGCAATTCCATTTTGAACCAATGAGAACGCGAGATAGAGAAAAAAAAATTAAATGAAAGAAGACTCTCGGAAGAAATCAATTTTTGGAGCAGATGAACCCTCTCCTAGACTGGTGTTGACGTGGTGAATAGAGAAATTGATGATTTTTGTAGACAAACATCTTTCGTCAATAATCGTAATATGCTAATCTTTTTCATCAAATAACTGTGATCAGAGAGAAAGTTAGATACTCAAAAACTCATTAAGTAAACAAGAAATTGGAATAATTAGAGTACACCAAAGATCCAAGTAATGGACGGGCTATGGCAAGCATGACCCTTTGGACAAGATACAAGATCTTTGATACTTGGGGGGGAAAATGGCACACTGTCCCTATGGTCAGTCAAACTCCATTTCCTACAATGTACGTAAACAACTAAGTATGAACAGCACTTAACCCCACAGCAACCTAATCTTATAATGTTTAAGGATGATAAGTGAAATCGAAAAGAACTTTGGAGATGAAATCATAAAATGTGCCGTTAAAAAAATAATCGTTGGTCCTTTTTTTGACTTCACAGAATAGTCGCTAGACAAACGACGATAGAACAAGGGCTATGGAACACTAGATATAAGGAAAGATATAGTGTGACTATGGCAGAGTTTCAGAGCCTTCGCAACCCTCTCTGAATGCACACACACCCCCGACCTCATGACCAGATGGGAAGACTAGAGTATGCCAAATACAAAAGAAGAGAAAGCAATTGGGATACATAACAAGCAGTACCAAAGAACGTTCAACTAAAATCTTCTTGGAAGTCATGTAGACCAAGCGACATAGCCTTATGTGTGAATAGCTGAGGTATTCAATCGTATTATTTCGATTCATACCGAAAGGATAGGTTCAAAGATTGAGGAATTACGAATAACATTCCCGCCAGGATTTGAATCAACTTCTGCGGTTTTGGGCAAGGTATGGAACCAAAACATAGTTGAGGAAAAATCTTTTCAGCCTATTCTCTTGCAGAACTCGATCGAGTTGTTCATCTCTCTTCTCACAGTTATTCATAAGAATACAAAAACTGATGGGGAAGTCGCTTCGTAACAAAGGAATGTTTCTAAATGGATTGTGCTCGTCATTCAAAACCGACGAAAAGTCATCAGATTGTACACAATTCACGAGATTTGAGTAACAATCACAACCGCTCAGATAAACTGCATCGGGAGGAGAAAACCAATGAAGAGCGGAGAGGTAAATGAAAAGAAAGGAAACATTTTCGCAGCGGAAGAAGGAATGGAGAACCGAGCAATACTACTAGTCCACATGACATTCGCCTGCATGAGAAAGAAGAAAAAAATTCATCAATGATCGCTGTCTTAATTCCTTGGTTGTATCAAGAGAAATCATAAGCAGTTGAAGCTTTGCAATATAGAGTGAAACTTACGTTTATAAATGTCTTAATGAGGAATATGCAGAGTAGATAATAGCTGAACTGGATGAAGCTGACAGCATTCTTACTGGCTTTTTGTGGAGAAATCATTCAACAGCAGTGGAAACTCTCGAATCTTTCGATGCTAATTCCAGAGCGAAAGTTTTTGCGAGCGTAGTAAGGCTGAGTTATAACACAGAATACTACACAACAACATATTGATTTCGCTGCCAAGGAGAGAGGAAAGACTGGAGAGAGCCAAGCCACAATGGAAAACAAGAGTCGCAGAGAGTAAAACAGAATAACGATTTTAGTAGAGAGGAAGGTGAAGCGAAATGCTCAGCACATCACATAATCATTCGCGAGATTATAGGAGAATTCATAATTTCCCCGTATTGAATGACCACATATGATCTATGGTCCACATAAACCTTCGACAGAACTTTCTCAACCACTCATAACTTTTTTGCTCGGCCGATTAAGTTTTTACATAAAACAGGCCAATGAATGAAAACCTTATCTCTGATTCTTTTGGACTAACCTTCTCTTTCTGTTGTTTTTCGATGAATACAACACATGATGAGATAAGAGGAACCGGCTTGTAATCAATGTCACTGGGAACAAATGGTAATCTCAGCTGTATTCCGTCTTTGAAGATCTCAAAAAGGCTGAAGTTATATCAGTTCCTCAACTTCATCTCACCTGAAGACCGTTTTTCACTTCTCCTGATTGTAATGTTGAACCAATCAGTTCTAATCTGAACAATAGTACGTTCAGATCTGGCCTATTGTAACAAAGTTGGACAACTTGCTTATTATTTACTGAAAGGGTGAATTGTAACAGAAGTAAAATCAATGAACAACCTTCTTTACTAACAGTAACTAGAAAACTACTCCCTACGTAATTATTATGGAGAATAGTCGATACATCTTGGCATAAATCGACATGCTTCTTAAAGTTGTTTTGAGGATTGAATGTCCAATGAACTGATAAACTGAACAGAGAACGAAAAGATTAGATATCATAACCTTTACATACTCTCGTGATCGAAACGCGAATATTCCCTTTTTTTCCAATAAGAAGGCCGCAACTTTGCGAATCAAGCATTGACGGCCATCAGCAGGCTCATGGAAGGACCATTCAGAGCCGGCTATCAGGGCGGATAGAAACTGTGTAATTCAAAATAATCAATTACACTTTCCGGCAAAGCTTACCTCTTTCGCTTCTTTCGCTGCACTCTCGGCAAGATCTGGATGTTCCCGAGATGTTTCTTCCATTGAAGGATGGAACCGCAGCTGAGCAGCTTTGGAAGGCTTGGTTTTTTTGCTGTTCAATCCGACAATGTCGAAATGAGAGATCCAGATCCCATCTGATTGGGTAGGAGGCTGAATAACTTTGTCGAAGCTGATGCGGACTTCGAGGGTACGATGTCTAGAAGTTCTGCAAGATCCCAATATTATGTTGAAGTATCAATCCGCAACAGACTTATGATGTAAAATGCAAAAGATGGAATTCTGTTCAAAAGTTGAAGAGGATGTCATTTTTTTGTGTTGTTCGATTCTGAAACAAAAAACCTTCATGAAGTTACCTTGAAAAACTTTCAAAGTTGTAAATAAGTTATATTTAAGGAGAAAATCATATAAAAAAACATTATCGGCATAAACAATTGTTGCTTTCAATTCTTTTGTTCGATAAAGCATACAGAAATAAAGTGAATAAACATTTAAACTTAGAATTATACATTTATAGAATGAAAATGAAAAAAGAACAGTCAAAACTAAAAATAAGTACAAACTCGCAGCACAGTAAATAGACGATACGGCGCCCCAACTAACGCAGAGATCGACAACAGTACGTATCGAATGTTCGAGAAATCTTCTCCCTACTAGACGTAGAGAAAGAAATGCATTGAAAGCAACCATCTATACTGTAACTTTGATTAAGAAGAGGGAAAAGGGATACAACCGTCCGATGAGTCTATGAGTTGATAGAATGAAAAAGAAATTTAAAAATTAACATGTGAAAGTGGTCATGTTTTGTCAGTGGAGCACAACCACAAGAAATCAGGTATATAAGTTGGAGTGCTCGATGTAAAGCTCTATGTACAAAACTTATCTGATGACATAGAATATCATACTGAGTAATAAGAACTCTGATCATCCACATTAATGTTGATAATGAGCTGTCAAGTATTGAATCATAGAAGAGCGTGGAACGGTAATATAATCAAAACTCTTCTTGCTATCTGATAACGACTGACCAATGGGAATGAAAAAAGTGGCTTATTAAAAGTTGTAAAACATTACATCGGCGCTAGCCATTAAAGAATATAAAAACTAGGAAACTTTCACGTGGTCTGAACATTTGTCTATTCTCTGTTATAAAGCAACTTTACAAACATAAATTTTGAGAGAGGAAAAAGATATTGAACGCAACGCCGCTGTTGACCGCCTGACCCTCTTGCGACCGAGCGCTGCCAACAAGGATAGAAGCAGATCGATAATCAGAATTCATTTCAATGTGAATATATTATTTGGTATAGTGCAGTAACGTAATGAAATTTGCAAATTTTTATTCGATGGAAACATAGACCAAGATTATTTTTTTTTTATTTCTTCTGTTTTTTTTTTCTCACCCTGTTTCTTACGCACACGCCAGCGCTCTACTGATCGTCAGGCACATAACACAGTTTTGCTGGTTTGAACATTCCAAAGCCCATTTTCCATGTAGGCTTTACATATCTTTACACCTGGAAACACTTTGGGACTTTCAGGTGCTTGCTCTTCCGAGGCTTCTACACTATCCATATTCTTTAACATATGGTTTTTAACACTATTCATGTTCTTTAACAGATGATGCATCAATTCGCTCTTGGAACCGTATAACTGAAATAGAAAAAATGGCATAAGAGTCTTCAAACAATAATAATTCTTACATGAAGGGCGGCGTTAACATTATCTTCGTTCGTGAAACATAGAACAACACTGTTCTGGTCATTTCTATAATAAAAAATTTACTCAAAAACACAAATGAATAAATTCACTCACTTAATACCCTTGAAGTTGCATTCACCCGATACGCATCCCGAAATATCGGTGGCAAGCAAATATTTCTTTTTGTGAGATATTGTCATGAACTCCAAGTTTATGCCAACATTAACGTCAATCAACTTCTTGCTTGAAGGTTTTAAGAGTTTTATAGGGCTGTTGTCGGGGATTTCCATCTTCATTCGGAACATCGCAGAGCTAGAATATTGATATTGAGCCATTATTCTTCTGTAAAGCATTTTCATACCCATAAGAATAACATGAAGTCATCAGCAGTTCCAGATATTTCTTCATATTCTCTTTCGGCGCATTCGTTCTCAAGTCTACGAATTTTTTGTATACAGTGCTTATGTAGTTGCTATAATTTCAAATAAGTCAAATCCCATCTATCTTCCAACCTCTTGTTGAAAGTCTTCCCGAGTAGCATTGGTTCGAAGATCTCATTAGCGAGACTCTTATATAAAATCTTTTCCAGATTTTTCCTGAAAAACTCTGATATTTACCAAGTTCTACGGTTTGTTGAAAGTTCGAAGTAGTGTACACACTCTTTCGAAAATATAACAAAGTTTAAGAACAAACTTCATATACTCCACCATCACTTTTTCACTTTTGTCGTCTTTGGGAGCATCGATTGCGAACCCGACGGCAGCGAGTTCGATAATATTTTTCAGATCCAACAGATATTCGCCTCGGAGAACACAGCTTTTTGCATCCTGATACAGGATATTCAGATACACATCCTTCTCCTCCATCAACTCCTGAGTTACGAATATTAAGCAAAGCACATTTTTTTCTGATTACCCTTTGCCTCTCTCTGGTAAGAAATATGTTTCTGCGCAAGCAAACAATCGGGATATCCTCTTCTCTCTTTTGCTCATCGGCATCAGAATACGCTTTGAGGAATTCTTTCCAAATGCTCATGATTGACAGAGCTTTATGTTTCAGTTTTAATTGCATTCCTGTATATATAGAAATAAAAAGAAACAAAAATTCAAAACAAACCCAATAAGGGAGAGCATATCCACAATCCGAAACATTCTTTTGCTTCGGATTCCTTGATGTTGAGTTCAGCAGCTAACAACTCAAGGATAGATTCCGCAGTTGCTTGTAATGAGCATTCAAGTTCGATGAAAACATCTACGAAAAAAACTTATTTACTACCTTTACTACAGTATGACTCACCTAACTCGCTACAGTGGGGTATGTTCATGAAAGTTGCGAGATACACTCTGATGAGGGTCGTTCCCCTGCATTGAATGAATTCGGTTGGATTGGCATTTCTAAAAACGTTCGCTTATTAACTATAAGTTTGTGAGATTCCAACTGAATTGTACTGATCGGTGAGTTTGTTAGAGGGTTCGATTCCGGTGGTATGGGTATTTCAAAGTTTTGAGTAACTGTAAAACAGAAATAAATGAGTGAGGTTACAACAAATTATTTCTCTCACTTTTCATAAGAGTCGGTCTTTTACTCTTATTGTCTTCATTGGATATATTGTTGAGTGGAATCTGTTCTTCAGAGGAGGAAATCATTTTATGTTATATACCGCAGTTTGTTCCTCTCTCTGAATGAATACTATATGAGCATTATGACACAAACGAAAAAATAACAAAATTAAAAACGATCTGTAATAGCTATTGCAAAATTACGTGATTCATTGTGAACGATCGGATCCGTTACAAACTGATAACAAACTTTATTAAATACAAAAACTGCTGATAAAATGAATGAAAATTTATGTGATGGTGGGAGCGAATCAATAGTGAAGACCGTAGTCCGTAGGGAAACAGCGTTGAATATGTTGTATACACAACGACGAAGACTGGACTGAAAGGAGAAGACGATCACGAGGCCTAACTAACGGAAAACATGAACTAGGATGACTGTCTATTTTCTTGAAAAAAATGACTGTTTTCTTTCAAATATTTAGGAACAGGACGTAGGAGTTGATGTATTTTGAAAAAAGAAAACAAATGAATCACTCTTCGAATCTGAAAGTAGTGTGGTGGATGGATCACTGCGCGATCGGTGTTATACCTTATATAACCAAGTTTCTTCAAGACTTCTCTTCCCTCATTAAATTTTTCGGACAAATGTAAAACGCGTTTTTCTAAATCATAAACATGTGGATCAGGTGAATGTGGAGCCTAAATTTCAAGTGAGAAGGAAGGAGGGGATGACTCATCGCAACCTGCTTATGCAAAATATCGGCCAGGCGCAGAAGGTATTCCAAGTTTGAGCCAGAAGCACCATGACTGTACAGTATCTCAAAGTAAACGATAACACCTACATAATAACGTCATAATATTACGGTTGAAGCTATTTCATCATTTTGCGAATCTCCTGCGTAGTGCTCATTATCTTGAATATTAAGATAGACCTGAAGAGAAGCATGAAACCTCGAAATTTGAATTTCATCATCTTACTTCAACGTCAAATGACGGTTCTCCTGGTGTATCAGGGTAGAAAGTCACGCTGACACGCTGAAAAAAATCTGAATTACTGTGAACTGATAAAAGCCTCACCGAATATCCAGCCTTTTCTCTTTCATCTAAATATTTCCTAGTAGCCTTTACTGATTCTTCAGGGACCTCATAGGCTACACCCCAACACTTTCCTTGTTCATCGGGAACGAGAGTTACAGTCCGTCCCGGCTTAACACAAACAACTTCTAAGAATATGCCACCACTTACCTTTTCTGGTGTGCCGCGATGATCTGGACTGTGTTGCCAGAAACGACGTGAATACCCTTTAACGACTCCAGAAAGTTTCTATAACACATATGAAAGCCAGAAAAAAATTCAGAACTACCTTGATGTGATGGAAGTCTTGGTACCATAACAGTGAACCATACCCGAAAACCCAAACACTCATTTCCCAAGTTATCAAGATTACAGTGTACAGAACTGAAGTTCAAAAAGACAAAAATTATATTATTGAATATTAAGAAAATATACAATCAATTCCAGGAATAGTATCGAATAACATTGGACACAGGTAAGTAGTGACAAGAACATTTTTTGAGAAAAGAGAATGCGATATCTAATTTGTTTTATTGCCATCCGAACTGTCAGTAATTGTCTCGGACTTGGGAATAGATTGAAAATTTATTCTTCACGTCCTGAGCGATAATTGTGCTAATCATATTGACTGTGGCCATGGCACCTATGCCATGATCACCGCACATCAGCGATTTTTCCATTGGAGGTATTTCCTAGAAAACGGGAAAATAGTCAGAAAATACAAAAACTGAAGCTGAGCTCTCAATGATCAACTAACTTTGAATCGCAAGAGTTCTTTAAGAGTTTTACGATGCTGCGCCGTGAGCGGATTATCCCACATCATCGTGTTCATCGCCGGCGCGTAGAATAACGGTTTTCTGGGATCCCAAGCGCGAACCTGTATGCACTTTTGATCTTCTTAACTACTATATCAAACGAACCACTGATGTTAATAAATTGTCACACAATCCTAAAGCTATTTTAGCCATCGAATTCGCATCCAGAGGTGCAATCAGCATAGAGTCGGCCCATTTGCGTAATTCTGAAGATAGATAGATGACGAAGTTTCAATAATTAAGAAAACCTATATGGAGAACAAGATCTCCGCGTCCTTTCCACATAGACCATTCGTCTCTATCTTCGTAAATGATTTCTTCAATATTGAAATTCTGTGTTTCCATAAGTTTCAAAGCCGCGTCTGTAGTGACAATCTTAAATATCACCTGCCATGCCATGAAAAACACTAATCCCCACCTTAATAGCCAGTTTATCAGACATGCAAGTAGTTTTGAGTTGTTCCAATAACTCGACTAACTTGATGCAAGCCACACTACCCGTTACTCCAATTAATAAGTTATACTTGGATGAGTCTTTCGTGATTTTATGGTTAGAACTAAAAGCTGGTCGTGGGCCCTAGAATACATTGTAGTTGGTACGATTCTTTTATGTCATTATTCATACTTTCTCATCTTTCTCTTCTATGACTGAAGCATCCTCAGAGTTCAATTTCAACTTCTTCACTTCCGGCGAAGACATATCTAAAACAAATATTAGAACCTCTCAAAGTGTTACAAACTACATTAAAAAATGGTTGCCAAATGAGCTTTGAACGTCAAACTATTTTCATCATATTGCTGATTAAGGTTCGTTATCAATATGTCATTTATTAAATCACCACAAGTAAAGAAGGAATTGTAGAACAGGAGTTTTCGATTCAAAACTTCAAAAAAGTACGTGGCGTTTAATTTACACGAATGTCAGTTATCATCGTTTGAGTTGAGAAAGCTCCTCACTTATTCCTTTTATGTTAATTGTGGGTGTTATTTGACCAAAATATGAGTAATATAACATTACTATTCCCTAACGCAAGAAGATGCCTAATCAAAGTTTCTCCTAACACCTTTCTGAGCCAGGTTGAATATGACGTTATGCCTAGTGTTTACAGTACTATTGCAGGCTGTTGAAGATGCATGTCTTAAACATGGATTCGACTTGGATGATTACATTGCACATAATCAAAAGAAGGTTATTGATTTGGGATTGCCATATCGTCTTTCCGGTCTACACAATAATGCTCTCTTAGAATTATCATCTTCCGGTAGAGAAAAGAACTTCAAAGCAGAAGTGGCCTTACAAGTGAATAGTTACCTTGGAACAATCGAAAGTTTTGATTTTAGTTGGAAAACGGACAAAGACAGTCACACAGTTTCAATATATTCTGTAGTCTGCGAGAAGTTATAAATCATTTCGCTAGTCTATTCCAAGAAGATCTTGGATCTCAAATCAATGATGAGTTTCCGAGCTGTATGTACATGAACAAAAGAGTCAGTTTTCTCCTGATATGCTCATACCGAATCGTATATTGCTTTTAGTATTCTGCGAATGAGCTGGAAACTCTATCTCTCTCAGATATAGGAATATCAGGTGGACGGTGCCTTATCAGGTACGATTCGCCCATGTAGTTCGCAACTATTTTTCTATTTGGGTTTCAACGGATTCAACTGTCCGAAACTGAGCTGGAAGATAACAAAAAAAGGGCAGAAGAGGCGAAAAAACGACAAAACTTCTCCAATGAATACAAAAAAACGTTCATCGAAAATAAAGAGAGAGCTCGTATCGAGGGAGAAAGTTTCAAGGTTCGTGAAATCCCGAGCTCTGACTATAAGTTAGACGTGCCGTCAGAAGTTGCAAGAGGAATCTGAGCAAGCTGAGGAAGAGAAAAGACTGTTGGCTGTTCAAGCTGAGCCGATGCAAACCGAACAAATTGCAGAAGTGTAAGTGTATTCATTAAAGTTCAGAATGTAAAAGTTATATTCTTACAGAGATAATGCTCCCATATTCAATCGAGGCAGAATACCGACCCCCCCGCCCACCTCAACAAATTCCACCTGGTAAGCCTCAAATAGTTTTTCGCAAGTTCAAATCTGAATAAGGTCGTTCGATCAGCCGTTCAACAGTTCTGCCCCAACCGAACTTCCTGGAACTAGACGTGAAGAAGAAAATAGGATCACAGTTTTGAGAGGGTTGATTCAACAGGTTTTTCTTACTTTCATTGCGTTCAGCATTCCATCAATTTTTATTGTATGATAGCACTGATCATAACTATTCAGATCGATAACTCCTTGGGTATTGGGGGATCGTCTGACATTGTTGAATTGTTGGCTGAAAATGGAAGAATGTCTGTATCTCAAATAGCTTCGGCTAGCTCTGCCATGCAAACCTCTGAATCAACAGAGCAAACTTTTGTCGATCCATGCGATCGAGTTCCGATTTATTTTGACAAGAGGTTAGTGGGCGAGAATAAGGGTGTGTTTGTAAGAGCACTGTAGTAAAGTGGAACAATCAACGAACGAGGAAGATGAAAGCATGGAAGTAGAAACCGATGAGTTCTTCGACGTTAGTGTAAGCGATGTCAAGCGAAGACAGCGAGAATTACGGGAAGAAGTGTATGTTTCATGAATTCATACAAAAATACCTCGTAATTCAGTCAAAACCAATCTCAACGAGCTTTGGTACCAAAGAGTTTTGTGGATAAGAAGAACAAAGAACTGAAGTTAATAGCGTACAAACACACTGTAGTGCGCTATGTTTTGGGTAACTACGTTGTTCAAGCCAATTTCCTCAGCGCCGAACCAGGTAGCTTCATAGATCTCATAATAGAAACTTCCTTTTTCTTAAGTCATTCGTCTGTTCACATTCTTCCAATCCTTACTATCGACCAAATGTAAATTCAACCTTAACTTCGCTCTGAACGATCCCGTAGAGCAAAGTGAGACGAAAAACTTAGTTGAAGCAAATGTTGCACCAAAAGCTACCATATATGTGAAGTTCAAATCAGACGTGAGCATAGGTTAGTACTCTTGGATATACCCATCTAAATCCTTTATTCAGAACAAACATTGGCATTTAATACAATAAGAGCAGTGTGTACAAGCGAAGCCGATTCGATCGGAGGAGAATGGCTATCAGCGAATAGCATTTATCAGCCATTCAAAGGAGCTCTCCTGCCAGAAGAACGTCCAGCAATCCCCAAGCGCAGCGCTGATTATGAAAACCAACATCAACCTCCAGCTAAATCTCAAGGGCCCAAGTGGCTCAAATTTAAATAATTTTTTTTTGCATGTTCTGTGATTTAAGTATAAATTATTCGAATGAGGAACTAGTTAGCGAGAAGACCCATCTTTCCGTTCACATAATTCGCAACTTTTTTGGAATCTACAGGAGTGAAAGGATCGAGAGTAAATAATTTTGGATTCTTAATTGTCTCAGATAAATTCCTTGGGTTGCAGAAGAGCAAATGGTTTTTCTCTGCCAAAGCGTTGGCGAGCTCAACCTTAATTTGGGTTACTATAGAATGCGCATGTTCATGTACCTGGTGGTTGTTCATGAGATTTTCGTTTATAACAGCTATGAATGGTTTAGTCAGTTTTAATGCTTCCATTATAGTACCAGCTCCAGCGTGGCCAATCACTACCTTTGTAATGGCTCTTGGAATCGTTCATAATGAGAAATATACCTTCGCTTTCTCCATATACGGCTTAATATCTGGACTATATCTGAAGAATGTTACTTTCATTCCATCCATCTGAAAAGACATTATACGAGAACAACTACTCTCAAATTACCTCAGCGGACCCGTCTTCATTGTTCATCAGAAAAGTTGGGTTTCCTCCTCCATACTGAACAATCAACTCTTGAACTCCGTTTGCTTTGAGTGAGGCCAGAGAGCTAGACTCGGTAATCTTTAAAAAAGTTACATAAATAAGAATGTCGTATTAAAACCGCACAGCGTTGATCAAATCATCAAAAGACGTAGTTCCAACAGTCACAAAAGCTGACATCTGTGAGAAAATGACAGAAAATTCAGAACTATAGTTCGGTATATAACTGATGAAAAACGAAAACTTCAAAAACTTCGGTTTATCATACAAAAATCTTTATTACACCGGAAATTTATAACTATTTTCTGTTCATTAAACCCGCTAGAGCATCTGCGAGAGTCTGGAAAAAGCGATTTTGGTAGGGCACAAAGTAGAATTGATACCTTTGGTGAATTTTTGTTTTGTAGATCCTGGGTACCCGTTCTCTTAATATTAAAATATGATAATGAAAGAAGCTGAAGCTTACTGTGTTCGAGGCTAGTGATTGATTGAGATCAGAAGTTACAATTTTATTGAAATTCTGATTATTACTTTGCGTGCTATCATGGCTGGTAATTGGACTTGTCATATCCTTGTTATGATCAAGATCTTCTTTGATTGGCTGCGTATTTCGATTAGAAACAGATGCGATGATAATGAAACTCACAGTTAATCCATATAAAACATACAATTGTTCGATCAGTTTGAATACAGTAAGAGACTTTTCTTGTAGTTTTGCGAGCTTCGTGAAGATGACCGTTGTTTCTGCACAACATTTACGTTTAGAGGCTCTTTTTCTCTCTTCATGATTGGTACTCAATGGAACATCTAAATGAAAAATTTATCGAAGAAAAGTGGTTGGAGCCTAACATAGAGGGTTGAGAGACATAGAATAACTGTTCTTAGTGATAAGAGGACTACCAATAGACAGCTCTTCCACCTCGACACTATTTAAATTAACGGAAGGTTTTGCGGACTCCAAACTCGATAAGTCAGTCTAAGTAAAAATCACTGTATGTGCAAGTTTAAAAACAATAACGTACGAAGTGCAGACAACAAACCCACTCAACTTTCTTCTTCGGATTCAGAATAAAATTTGGATGATGTTTCCTAATTTCCATAACCCAAGAACTGCGATCAGAAGGTGAACCTTGCATATCTGGGTTATCATTGCTAGAATATTACTGATCTTACTTGGAAAAGGAACATAAAGTATATTATCCTCCGGGGATTTGTTATTCCTACAGGATGGTACTACACAGAACTATAATGAGCGACAGAGTATAAAAGTGGTGAAAAAAAGCTTACAGGTTTCTCGCTATTAGTTGTATTTTTAACGCTATGGAACAGAATTGGAGCCTAAAACATTGCATTTAAAAAATATATATGATTGTTGATATACTTCCTGCTCATCAGGACTCTCCATTACATCTGTAAAATGCTGAGCACAAAGATAACCTATTGAAGGCAAACAGTAATCCCGCTGTAGACCAAACCATACAGATCTCTCCCATTTATGGAATTCCTGCCTGAATTCTTCAGTTTAAAAATAGAATGCTTTAAAACACTGACCAAATCCGAGGAATGTTCAGCATTTGGAAGTCTTTAGCACCAGAAGGAAGGTTAGCACTACAACCGGCTATCGCACAGATTTTTGAACGTTGAATGTTCTCAATGCCGCTGGGTATCCCTGAGTAAACTCAGTGACTTTCTAAGCGAGCTGTAACTTACGTATCCCCACATCCGGCAATATTTTAGAGTCAAAAATATTCAGCTTGACTAGAAGATAAGCTCGTTGTCTCACTTGCCCTGCTTCATGAATGTTGTTCTATAAGAATGAATTAGATATATATCGTATACTGAACACACTGGAGATTGTTTCGGGAGGTAGTGGAAGAGAAGGGACTTTGGACGACCTTCCCAGAAAATATCTGAGTAGTACTTAGGGCTAAGCATAAAATGCCTATGACAGATGTGGAAGGGAAAAGACTCTACAACGGCTGAAGGTATGTTCTTTAAGTCATTTTTAGTATCTGTAACATAACATGAGAATTAGAAGCATGACGTTAAACTTACTGAGAAATGCCTTGGTGAGTACCGTCTTATTGAATAACTTGGTCATAAGTCGGTTTTGAACAATAATGGTACTCTAGAAATCATAATGCTACTATATATCAATAGAAAAATACTAACACATGAATGAGCTATACAATGGAAAGCGAGCTCGAAGTTTACAGGGAGGCGACATAAAAACTGCGGAGATTCCATATAACAACCTTCTACTGAGCATCTTGGTCGCTGTGAAAACTTATAATGATTGTTAAGAACTTCGCACGTACAGCTCGTGTCCCTCTAGGACTCTGTGCCAACTCTTCCCGTGTTAGTATTTTACAATGAAGCCTTCTCAAAGCTGAAACCACACCGGACCAATCCTCATTGTCATTGACAGGTTCTTCCTTGATCATTACAGAGGATGAAGAACCTTCTGAACAATTCAGTTAGAACACTTCTGTCGAAAAAATTAAGAAAGAATACCAGCTACGGAGCAAGCTTGAGAAGTAGATGCGTTGTAGTCTTCGTTCATTTCTCCTGATCTACAAGGAATTTTTGATAATTCAACCAATTGGAAAGTATTATATAGACATAACACACTTCATCATATTCACTTGAATCACCAGTTTTTTTCAATTTTTATTGACATAATAATTACTAGAAAATTACAATTATAATTCAGTGTGCCGAGTAGTAGTAGTAGTATGAGTTATAGGGCTATCATCTTTCAAATAATTAACATAATCTGCGTACGGATCAATTTCTTCTAACTTGTGAAATGAAATCGGCAGTAATTTCCTGAAACCAGTATCATATGCACAAACATGAAACACGTACCTAATGTAATCTTCACTGTAGTCTCTATGCCTTGCTTGATGGAAAGCTGGACTGTGTATTAAAGGAATACTCTTCGATTCAGCACACATCCCTGCAAGAAGTAATATGAAACAGTGATCCCCAGAGTAGTTGAAAATGTATGAAAAAAATCTAACCCAGAATCATATCATCAGGTGAATCAGCTTGTGGGCAACTGCAACCTTTTACGATTTCTTCAACAGCGGTTCGAGAGAAGACCATACTGCAACTTGAATTATGAGGAAATCTCATACTTACAACACTCACCCGGATCCTCCTGTGGGGTAATCATAGCCACTTCTACCATGATGGTCGAAGCCGTACCCATATCTTTCGCCTATTATTAGTTTCTTTTTGGGGTTATAACACTGAAGCAGTTTTTTGAGTCTTGGTATGCTCAAAAGTGTATCATCATCAGCAATGATTAGCCAATCAAAGTTATTTTGTGCATTATTATGATAGAAATGATTCAGGATGGCAAACGTTTTCGCACAATGTCCTAAAACTCTTTTTAAGACATATTCTAATCAAGAACACGGTACACCTCTGTTAGTATTTTCCACACCAAGTGTGATAGTTGGTACAAATTGGTCTTCTATATCACTTATATAGTCCACATGCAACACACTATTAGCCCATGTCCTCTTCGTAACAACTACTGCAACATAAGAATCAAATAGTTTAAAACAATCTCGACTAACATCTCGTCCTATGGTATTCACTGAATGTCTTCACAGCAACATAGAAGTTGTTGTCATTGACAGGATATGAACAAACATTTCCAGAATTTGCGTATTGCTTCAAGGAATCACGTGTCATACTTTTCCGAGAAATCATTAACCTTATATTGAGTGATACAAGTAGATTCAGGAAACAAGCAGAATATCTTGTTTCTGGCTTGAAGTTTCACACTCAGGTTTTCTTCCAGAAACCGAGAGAACTAAAATCTTTGTTCACAACATTTTTCGTACCTAATACCTCATGTTTAGGATCGATGGCAAATCCACTAAAATGTTTCTTATCCTCAGTCTCTTCTACGATTCTACATAAATTACTAGATAGAGAAGCTACACACATTATCAAAACCTCTTCAACAAAGCCCCAGACACTAGCATACCCGCCGACCAATCAGGGTAAGTCATTTGATCATCCTGTCTATCAAACCCGTGGAAGTGATGAATTATAGTAGGCCTACAGAAATCAGAAAAATATTTGCAAGAATAGACTCACGATGTATCTTGCAAAGCAAACCCAAAGTAAGAAGAATGTTTTGGGTCTTCGGATGATATAAAACTAGCCAGTCCGGCTAAGGAGACTGACGTCTCGGGCTCGACGAATAAGTACCATTCCGATTGATGGTTATTATACAAACTAAACTGAGTTTAAATCATAACTAACATTATGAGAACCTGTGAAGAATTGGGAAAATAGTCCAGCTACCTATATGATTGGGGAAATCGTCTATTGTATTCAAAACTTTGGCTTTAATCTAAACTCTCAAATCAAATAATTGTATTGTTATCAAGTTACCCCGGCACTCCTAATGCTGGTCAGAACATTTTTTTTCAAATCGTTTGTTAATCTATCATGCAACTCGGACTTTTGTGATAAAACAACAATGGTTATGCCTAAAAGTAATATAATCTATCAGTTTGAAAAGTGGCTAACTTGACTGAGACAAAACTTGCCCCCATATTATGCCCAATAACAGAAGAGAGATCATACTGAAAAGAAAGTTACAAAAGGAATTCATAGGATGAAGGAACGAGTATACAAAGTATACGGAGGTTGAATACCTTTTTATAAACACACACAGGATGAAGTAATAAATTAATTATTTAAATGAAAGTTTCCAGAAACAATCTCACATTAGGAATAAAATCACAGTTCGCATTAGGCGCTAATACGCTATATTAAACGGAAATTGAGCACAAGATACTAAAATCTACGACAACATGGGAATTTGCAAGCTCATTATTAACTGTGATGAACTGATGAGTACACCGTAATCCAAGAAACCATGTATGTTGCGAAAGCGGCACCAAAACCTTCCTTAGCCAATTCCCAGAAACCTCCGACTTCATCCTCATCAACTTTTTGGTAATGCACAACGAAATGTTGCACAATCATCGTGGAAATAACCACATATAATCCTATAGCAAAAATGCCAGTCAAAGGAACAAGGCCAAAAAGGATTCCAATCACCAAAGCGAACACCTGAACAATCGAATACTATATATGAAAATACTTGGAAAATACAAACCTGCTTCCCCCAATAAACTACATCTAGCAGATCGTCTTTGTTTGGCCAATCAGATGCTGGCCTTAAAGCTTTCGCCAACTAAATCAAAATATAAGAATGTATAGATTATAGAAAGAACTTACTGCATACCCAAAACTTCCTGGCTCTTCCTCTCTTTTCTTTGAAGACATTAATACTTTTGAAGTACCTGAAATATGAGTAAGAATGAAATAGTTCAGGTGAACTTATATCTTATTTTTGATAAGAAATAAGATATGAAAATCAAAACTTCTGCATTTTCATTAACACTTAGTTTTCAATGCATATTATTCAAATCATATCGCTTGGCATAGGTCGACCAAATCGCGTCGGGACCAAAACAGAAATGAAAGTCATTCTTATTTATCAATGTGGGTATTGCGGTTTGTTTTGTGTGAACAGTGGAATTAGACAATAGTAAGGAAAAGCGTATTATGAGAACTTATTCATTTAATATATTCTTTATACTATCTATATTAAGCGATTTATAAACACTTAGTTGACGTACGACGCGTGTGCTAAAGATAACACGATTTTCCGGCTTAATCAACTGATCCTATCAATGATTCACAATCTTTCCTGTAAATTGAAACTATCTTATTTTTCCAATTGAAACACGCACGATTGTTTCATTGTTATTAGATTCAAAAGCTTCCAAGTTTTCTATTTCTCTATTGAGTAAGTCATCTTGGAAAAAATAATCTGTAAACGGAAACTAACGATGTTTTGAGAAAAATTTCAACCTTCCAGAACATTCTTTGCTATGAGGACGCTGTAATTGCATATGTAGATAATAAAAAACAAAAAGACGAATATGAAGAGAAGTATGACCAACAAATGTAGGAGAATAGAGCTGCTAAAATCTTGAATTGAAGTATGAGCACGTTTCGGCTTACTGGGGAGTATCTCGTGTTCGTTGAAACTTGATGAGCAGCTTCGTTTGACTAGTATTATACTCTTCAAATGAACCACGAGGAAGAAGAAATTCAAACAAGTCAAAAAGAGATGCAAGTGTTGGATTGTTGCTCACAGTTACCTCTTAGGCTATCTTCCAAAGTATTTTCAGTCAAGTTGTTCCAATTCCAGGTGGATGTGACGTTTTCAGTTTTGAAGCGAGGATCGAATTCTGTGTTAACTCGGTTTTCGAAGTACCGATGTTTCCCCATGTTACTACTACCTATCAAATCGAATGAAGTTCTGGTTGAATTGTTGTCCATGATTACAAATCGAACTGTGCCTATTGAATCGGAAGTACTGTCATCTTAAAATTTTAAAAAAAGTATCGAGGGGAAGACCTTAACTAACTTGAATCAAGATAGTGTTGACTGCTACTAGATGTTTTGAAACATTTCAAAATCTCAACAAAAGTTTTTTCTTCCTTTGTCAATGTGGGACTATCCCAGTCAAAATTGACCGTGTTGTCTTCTAACAATTGTGAGATTGGTATATCAATGTAATCACAATAATTAAATCCATCGAGAAGGGTTGCCAAGAACAATATTGGAAAAATTAGCATCTGGCTCCACCGCTCTCCAACACAATATTGCTCCAAATAACTTTTCCCCACCACCAAAACATGTAATGCTAATTACATTTGAAAAATGTTCATTTCTCACTCAATTGGACAAGGCGGAATTTCAAACTGAACTGTCTTTCAATGAGGTTGAAGTTTCGTGAACTTTTTTCACCAAACGAACTCATCTAAAGTATTGGAAGTTCACACTTAATACCTTAAGTGGTTCATGAAAAAGTTAAACTTCGTTCATTTCTATGAAAATGAAAAAGTCATCTTTATCAAACCTCTTCGAAGTATTCTTGACAAACGCACTCGAATTGCCATTCTTCAAAGGATAATGTGGGTCTTAACAGGAGCCATACGACATGGTGTGTATGTTGATCATCGAGTTTTCGTGCTGTTTGAAAATGACTTCGTGTTGAGAACTGTAGAACTTGCGCTATGTGCAAAAAGAATATTGAAGCACGGCTAGCTGTCCGCATACTTGTTTTCAACTTAGTTACAAAAATGTCATTTCTTTTTAAAATTGTTGACTAACTCATCAATCATTCACACGTTTCAGTTTCAACCAATCGTTTCTGTTTTCGCTGAAACTGTGTCACGATGATCTTCTTTTCTTCCGGACTTCACGTTGACCACCGCTTTGTTCTCGTGAACTCTTATCCGGTTAAATTGTTCAATTTAGACCAGCCTGATAAAGGAGATGACTTTTTGTTTGAATCTCAGCCATTCTTATTTCAATTACTTTCAATTAATGAACCAATGCACTTTCTTCTCCCATCACGGACTTTATCTTATTTATGAACAAATTCATTTTTTTTTTGGAAAAGAGAAAAGCATCTATGTTCTGGATCGCTATCAACTCGAGAATGCGACCGTTCTGTTTCATTTTTCTGTTCAAAATGTCACTAGACTAGGACACAAGCTTCACGTCGCAATTGACGTGAAACGCCATTTTTCAACTTTGCAAAGGTGTTAAGTTTATATTTTGTGACAAAACGATTGCTGCTTTACTTGTTTTCCTTAAACGTTTATGAAAAATTGGAAAACAACTTCCCACTAGTTGTTTGTCCATCATCAGGCTCATTTTCGACTTAACCACTATTCATTTCCTATTTTCCAGACATCGAAGGTAGGTTCCATTTTCAGTTACAACTAGTTGTCAATCTGATCACTATGAAGGAGAAGCAATGGCTTTCTCTTATGCCTAACCATTCCAAATATTTTCTTTTCTTTCGTATGCATTCATTTCCCGGATGGCCAAACACTCAATTCTCACATGGTCGAAACGACCTGGAAAAGTTTTTTTTTTCTTAACATTCAATGCATCGTTTTGAATTTGAATGTTGTTTACTTAGAGAATGTGTTTGCAAAACATCCCAGTTTATTAATGTGGTCAAGTCTGATTCAATGCTTCTTCACATCTGCATGCATCCCGTGATTTCGCGACCTACTTAATACAAAAGTTGCAAAGAGCTTGATCCAATTGCGCAGAGTCAGGGCTTGCATAACCATATATCCATGTTTTCATCTTTCAACAAAGCTATTTTACAAAAAATTCCATAATTACATATTTCAGTTTTACATGAACTTGTAATTCATCTTCAAGAGAAAGTGCAAGTTCTACACTTTTCCATTTGCAGCATTTTGGGTTGTTGTTTATGCACCTAATACATGGCTTTTTCAAATATTTGAATTATTTGAGATTTTAAAGCTAATTTTTTTTCCAAGAACAGAAACTAGAATATGCAGAAGGTCATTAGAAGAATTTGAAAATTTAAGAGACTTCCGAAAAACTGTCAAGACTTGCATGTGAATCTTCGTCAGTTGAAGGAACGAAATGACATTCATCTCCTTTTCGTTTATTTTATCCTTTTTGTGTTAGAATGTATTAAAATTCGGAAAGCCACTTTCCTCCCACAGTTCAGGACAGATTATTCGCGAATTCCTTTAGTGGAGATGGGGGGGGGGAGTTGAAGGCGTTTTCAATTTCATTTGTTGGCCATCCATCACATTTTAATTACAAATGTTGTCAGAAGAAATAATAGATCCATTACCAGTTAGTGTTGTTTGTAACTTTTTTTTTCTCATTTTCCTTTCATCTTTTTTATCTTCTTTTCATTTTTCTCAAATTACATGAAACTGTTGCCAATTACATTGACGTTCAGTCTGTCCCTCTATCTGCGCCTATTATCCAGCTATCCTGATGCGCTTTCATTCATGGTTTCGTTTGGAAATTGTTTGTCTTAGTTTCATCTGATTGATTTTTGCTCTGATTGTTGAATGTGTTCATACTAGTTTCCGCGAACATCTGAAAGTTCTGTAAAACTTTGGTTGTTTCTTGTTATTTGACCATTGGACATTGTTCTTCCGCTAGAATTCCTCCATGTTATTCCATTCATCATCTAACTATCTTAGATTGCAGATGTGGCCAATTCTTCTTCTGACTCTTGTAGGAGCTTCCACAGCTTTCGAATGCTATACCTGTAATGAATATTCTAATTCCGGCAGGTGCAATGAAAAGGTTCAAGAATCTTCATTTTTTTAAAAACAATTTAATAATTGAATTGACTATTGACCTCTTCTCTACTCTTCTAACCTTGAAATATGGAAACTCAGTATCCTTAGAACAATAAGGAACAGAACTTCGTTAACAATTTCTAAACAATTTTATTGTTCTGGTTGTAGAAGACCATCTGTCCCCCAGGAGTTGATTCGTGTTCCATGATGGTCACACAGTACAACGGAAATCTATCAGTTCGAAAATTCTGTACTCAACCATCAACTCCAATTTATCAATACTTGATGTTTTTCCCCGGATCAAGTATTTGTCAAAACATCGACTTGGTATAGCATTTTGAAAATAAGAGATGTTTGAGACAATTCATTTGTTCTAGTCCATGGTCATGCCACCTTCTAACCGACTCCGAGCCAAGCGTTCCGATTCACCTCCAGCTCCTCCTCCAGTGGAGGTAATCCGAAAAACCATAAGAATATAGTAGAATATACATTTTTAAGAGTCCATCATTGCTTTGTGTATGTTCCAGCCCTCTTTGTAACAAAGGAAGCCATCAAGAAGTATAGAAATCCATCAACACTAAGCTATTACCGTTTTTTCAGGTTGTTGAAAACACAATGTTTAACGGAATCCCTCGTAGACTTTTGAAAAAAGTCAAAAGCAATTTCAAAATTGAAAAGAATACATTGCAAGATCATCCTGATGCAGATCTTTTCCAACAAATGGCTGATGCTGGTTTCTAATTATAATAACCATTTTGATAAAAAAAGTTTCTTTTATATTGAATAGCAAAAAAAGAAACGTCCATTCTGTATGATTCTATGTAACGATGATGAGAGCTGGATGACAGACATTGTATAATTAATAATTATTTTATAATAAATATAATTTATTTTCTTTTTTTTCTCAAACATCATATTAATTATTTCAAATAGCTAACAGTTTAAGTTCATCAAGTGCCAGCAAGATGTTTAACTGGAGCTGGCGTAATCAAGCTAATTATTGACTTCATTCTCTTCTACATCAACTCGTTTTCCAGTAGATAAGGAAAGCTGGTTATTCATTGGAATAACACCACCCCCTATACTTTTATCTGCGTGCTTAGCGACGACCGCAGCTTTGGGAAGATCTTTTGTTTCCTCTTTTTCTAATCTTTTTAACACCTGAAAAAGATAGTATTATAACATTGAACAGGGAAGATGATTGGTTACTTCTTTAGCAATCTCCTGCAAGAGTACTTTCTTTCCATCTGGGCCAGTTACCTTAAACATTAAAAGAATTAGAAGAATAGCACTATCTGACATACTTCTTCTTTGTTGGTTTGAATCTCAGTTTCTATTTTGTAAAGTGGATCAGGCTGCAGATGATCTTCTAGCATTCTATGGATACTCTTTAAGTTTTTGGCATATTCAGAAGAAGTGAGCTCGCTCGAGTTGTTCAAACTCCTTCGTTCAACCCAAGTTGAGTGACGATTTTTCTTCAAACTAATCTCTTTCCTGCGTAACTTAATTGCACTTTTCGTTGAGTTGGACATCGGCTTCTTAATAGATATGTCCACTCTCTTCCTACTATTCACTTTATTTCTAATTGCCCTGTCAGATTTGTTCTTTCCGTTTTTAGAATATGACAGAATCTGTTTTTTGCCCATTACCAGGCGGTTCGCTTTTCGGTGCTTCACACCATGAGCCCTATGACGTAGACGGACAGGAGGTCGTTGTAAGGGAATCAATCTGTCCTCTTCTTCGATAGCTCCAATGCGCTTCAGGTGATTATTCCGCAACTTCGATTTCAATCTGTTCTGCTCCTTCGGAGCGCTTTGCTTTCTTTTCTCTTTACTCGATTTGGCATTAATAGTCTTTTCTCTCCTCTTCAGCTTTCTCAAATCAACAAGCCCTGTTTGCTTGTATGGGAGTTTACTAAAATAATACTTGAGCATAGAATTCATTTCGAATAATCTTACGGAGTTTTCTGAACAGTTAGAACTCCATTGCCTACAACCAGAACCAAAGGATCAGTCTCATCTTTGTTTCGTTTGAACCGCCTGAATAAGAAATTTAGAAATATTATGAATTGAGAAACAACTTTTCATCTCTTTGAGGGCTTCTTCTGATTTCAATCAAACGATTTTTTATTCCTAGCAAGTTGTTGACAAATTCAGGACTAAGAGTTTCTGGAGAAGCATCAGAACTCATAGATTCTAATGTTCCTTCGAACCCTCCTCCTTCAGATTGAGTTTGTTCAGGCAGCATGTTCATATCCATTGGTTCTTCTTTGAAACTGAAAAGTTAAACACTTATTTTTGATGAATAATTATATTAACATAATGCTTGGGAATACTTGGAACTTAGGATCAGCATAATATGTAACATCTTTGATATCAATAGTCTTATCAGGACATGGACATCTCTGAAAAGAAGTGTTGATGCTAGCGTATCATTCTTGTATTATACTTTGTGACCAGCAGCACCCTGGTATCCAACACGGCCTCTTCTTCCTTGTTTTCCGCGCTTTCCTGGTCTGCCATCACCTCCAGGTGTTCCTGGTATTCCTGACTATAAAACGGTTGAAAAATGTTATATTAAACAGTTGGTCCAACATCAAAGCTTGGTTTTCCAGGTTCCCCGCGCATGCCAGCTTTACCACGGGACCCATGTTCACCTCTTGGACCGGGTAAGAATACAACCTGCTCAGCATCCGATCCAGGGATACCAAAATCTCCCATGTTTCCATCTTCTCCCTTGAATATCTATTTTATACGCAACAACATGGAAAAACCGACTTCTTCTCCAGCAAATCCTTGAATACCTGAAAGACCGGGAGTTCCAGGACTTCCTGGGATTCCTGGCTCACCAGATGCTCCAATAAGACCACGCCGTCCTAAAAAATGTTGGTAACTATGAACTTGTTTGAAAAAAACCTCTAGGACCCATAGGTCCTTGTTCTCCAGGTGGTCCTGATGGACAAGACATGCATAGTTCACTGCTTAATCCAAAAGCACTGTCAGATCCCCATGTAAATTCAGTAGTTCCTTGTTTACCATCTGCACCATCCACTCCTGGTTCACCAGGCACTCCATCCAATCCTTTCTCCCCAGGTGGACCAGGAGGACAGGTGTTATGAAGAATACACACTATTGCAGAAAATGAAAAGGGTCGATTAAAGTAAAAACTCAACTGCAACTTGGTGTTTTTGTTCTTCTTAGGCGAAAGACGTAAGGATAGTTGAGTTCAAATCTCCTTGGCCTAGACGAGTAATACTGAAAAATAAATTGTCCGTAATATGGTTTTAAAGGATTCACTTCTACAGATGGCAATTCATAACGACGTTTTCTATGCCTTCGCCGCTTAGTACTTCCGTTTCTGATGTTACGATCAACAAGGACTTTATAAGCACTGAAACGAAATGAGAACGCTACAAAAGTCTCCATAACATACCTTGATCTACTACTCGATCTACGCGTTCTCAAATATGTATCAGACGTATTGGTTATCTTCATGAGTTCGTCTAAAACTCGCAGTCGAAGCTCCTGAAAATATTGTGAAAACGAAGATGAAAGATTTGTTACCTGAACTTCTACCATTCCAACGTCAAAGTCTTCCCATATAGTTCTGATTTCGTAAAACAAGAAAGGAACAAGCAGAAAGTTTGCCATCAAAACTATTATTCCAATGGAAATAGTGATGGAAGAAGTCGTGGGAACATTTCCATACCACATCACGAATATTATGAAATAACTTTTTCCTCCTTTTTGTATTAAAGATTTTCATCTGACACATATCGTGGTAGCGATCCTTCTCAGATATAACACTTATATCAGTTTTTTGACAGTTCTGCCTCTTCAAGCTCTCACATTCAAATCGGAAGTCAGAATTTATACAAGTTAATCGCATGATTTAGATCTCATTCCATTTCATCGAAAACTATCGCAGGTGAGATTGATCTGGATTGTTACACATCTATCCACGAATATTTAAAATTCCACGAAAAAACACTAACCAACAGCGTTTTCATATGTTTTTTTCTTCAAAACATACGTTTCTCCAAACTTTTTGTTCATGAAACGTGGGTTACGTGGCAAGTTAGCAAGAAGCTGAACACATCAGCCAATCACTGACGAGTATTTCACGTGAACCACGTGAACCGAAGTATATAAATGAAAAGCCGTGAATGAGAACTCATTCGATTAAATCGACAAGGTGAATCAAAATGACCCAAGTAGCACCAGGAGATATCTTCACCCAGCCAGCCAGCAAAATCGTCTTCAATGCTCCTTACGAGG